GTATTTAACATATAAAATATGCATATAGACCGCTTTGGGCTATAAAATCTTTTTAAGAATAATTTGATTGGATTAGCAAGCATGCCTGTATTTACTTTTTTATTATTTAAATCCTTACTTTTTATTGGTTGAAGCTTGTCACTAAAATTTTGGGGATGCGTGGATCTGCCATATAACCGTGTATTGAGATCTCCAAAATAATGTCATATTCTTCTTTGTACCACTAAACTTGTATATACCCAAAATCCATTCACTTATTAATATATTATAAAAAACAAAAAAAGTTGATGTGTAACTTTTATTATAATAATAAATTACTTTCCCTTATTTACTCTGTCAAATTTATATTATGTGGAAAAATAGAAAAAAAGCTCCCGAGATCTAAATTATCTCCTATTTCTGGTGTAAACACATGCAATATTTAAAAAAAAACTTATAAATCTATTATTAAATTTGAAATTTTAAAAATATATTATAATAATAGTATAAAATGTAAAAAACCAAAATTTCCCCCTGTAGTAACTTCTTTTTTTCTTTCAATTATAAAGTCTTTTCACCAAGGACACTTTCTTTTTTTTATTTATTAGTGTAGTATATATATATATATATAAAAATAAAATGTCGATATTTAAAAAAAAGAAAAATGTAAATGTCGAAAATGAAACTTTTATTAGTTTGGAACATCATTCTTCCTCAATTATCGATGATAGCACCACAGTAATAGCTGCTACTACAATGAGTTCTATCACAGCAGCTACAACAACAACAATAACAAACCAACAACAACAACAACAAACAACAGCTACTTCAAAAAGACGCGTTTATGTAAATATGCCTTTACCACCAGAAGAATTAGATCAATATGACGAACCAATAATAAAATTTGCATCAAATCGGATCAGTACTTCGAAATACACTTTGTTAACCTTTATACCAAAAAATTTATTTGAACAATTCCGGAGAGTGGCAAATATGTATTTTCTTTTCCTAGTAGCACTTCAACTTATACCTTCAGTAGGTGGTGGTGTTTCTCCCATTTTAGTGGCTTCCCCACTATTCACTATCATCACTATGACTGCAATTAAAGATGCTTTTGAAGATTGGAAACGTCATACTCAAGATAAAACACTTAACAATTCTAAAGCTACGATAATATCAAATTGGGTAAATGTCAATATGCCATATGGCGGTAGTGAGCAATTTAAATCCTTGCGTAAAATATTGAATCGTTTTTTTGGTTATAAAATCAAAAAATCAAACTGTAATTACAGTAATAGTAGTAAGCATCATCATGATAATGATAGTGATAATAGTAATGTTAATAATAATAATAGTAATGATAGGTCGATAGTGGTTCCATCATCATCTCGTACAAACAAAACAAAAGTTTCAGATATAAAATGGTCTGATGCTCATTGGCAAGATGTTAAAGTTGGTGATATCATACGATTAAATAATAATGATCAAGTGCCGGCTGATATGATAATTTTATCTACAAGTGAACCAGATGGTCTTTGTTACTCGGAAACAAAAAATTTGGATGGTGAAACAAATCTTAAAGTTCGTCATTGTGTGTCCGCAACTTCATCAATAAAATCTGAACAAGATTGTGGGACTGCTTCTTTTTATGTTGAATCTGAACCACCAAATGTCAACTTATACACATTCAATGGAGTTTTACATTGGATCGTAAAAGATGGCACCGACATTAAAACTGAACCCATATCTATAAATGACGTTTTGTTGAGAGGTTGTGTTCTTCGTAATACCGAGTGGGTTATAGGCTTAGTGCTATATACTGGAACAGATACCAAAATTATGTTAAATTCTGGCGATACGCCAAGTAAAAGAAGTCGAATTGAAATAGAAACAAATTTTCATGTATGAATTATAATGACATTGTTTGTTTTTGGTGGTGGTTGCAATTATTTAAAAATTTAATTATTTTGAACTTATATATATATTTATAGGTTACCATGAATTTTCTTATACTGTTTTTTCTTTGCCTTGGATCTGGTATAGCACAAACTATTTATTATATCCAGCCAAGAAGTTCTTCAGATGTTTTTAATTATGATGGAAATGATGATGTTGGTCGTGGTCCATTTCTAAGCGGTTTCGTAACTTTTTGGTAGGAAAATATAATATATATATTATATATATATAACCATACTTTAATTATTTATATATATATATAATAACCATATTTTAATTCCTATAGGACAAGTATGGTTTTATTTCAAAATATTGTGCCTATCTCATTATATATTACAATCGAATTGGTTAAAACTATGCAGGTATTAAGAAATGATCAATTAAATATATTGACTGATTTAATTAATAATTAATTTTTTTTTTGTTTTTTTTTTTATATATAAAAAGGCATACTTTATTTATTCAGATATTGAAATTTATTATGAAAAGCTTGATTATCCATGTGTTCCAAGGACTTGGAATATTTCAGATGATTTGGGTCAAATAGAATACATTTTCTCAGATAAAACTGGTACATTAACTCAAAATGTTATGAAATTTCGTAAATGCACAATCAATGGTATCGCTTATGGACTGGGCGAAACTGATGCAACACATGGTGCTAAATTACAATCAGGTGATGATGATGCTATTTACGAAGAAGATAATGGAGATGAAATTGATATAGATGCAGAGAAAAAATTAATGTTGGAGGAAATGTCAAAACTGTTTTATAACAAATACATTTCATCAGATTTCTCATTTATCGATCCAAACCTTTTTCGAGCTTTAAAAACTAAAGACAAACAATCAAAAGCAATCCAAGATTTCTTTTCAGCTCTCGCACTATGTCATACTGTGCTTGTTGAAAATCCTGATGAAGATAATCCTTATAATATTGTTTATAAAGCTCAATCACCAGATGAGGCCGCCTTAGTTGCATGCGCTAAAGATGTTGGATTTGTATTTACTGGACGATTCGAAAACACTTTAGTGATTGAAGTGATGGGTGACTGTAAACATTTTGAATTGTTAAATGTGTTGGAATTTAATAGTAATAGGAAAAGAATGTCTGTTATTGTACGTTCACCTGAAGGAAGTATAATATTATTGTGTAAAGGTGCTGATAGTGTGATTTATGAACGGTTAGAAAAGGATTGTCAATTAAAGTTACGTGAAGATACTTTGTTGGATTTACAACATTTTGCTAATGAAGGTATTTATACTTGTATATTTTATATTTATCGTATAATACATTATTATTTATCATATATATGTGTATAATTTATTTCTCTAAAAAATTAATGAATAGGACTTCGGACATTATGTTTAGCGTATCGTATTATACCAGATGAAGAATATGCTGAATGGTCATTAAAATATGCTGAAGCAGCAGCCAGCATTGATAATAGGGAAGAGAAAATAGAACAAGCATGCGAATTGATTGAACATTCATTAGTATTGATGGGTGGTACAGCGATTGAAGATAAGCTTCAAGAAGGTGTTCCTGAGACAATAGCCACATTAGCAAAGGCTGGAATAAAGTTATGGGTGTTAACTGGTGACAAAATAGAAACGGCCATAAATATTGGGTTTGCATGTAATCTATTGCAAAATGATATGACCTTAATCATAATCAATGCTTCAGATTTGCAAAGTACACTTGCTCAATTACATGAAGCGATGTTAAAGTTTTTTGGTAATGATGTTGATAAAATAAATAAACATGCATTGATAATTGATGGGGAAACGCTCAAGTATGCACTTGATGATTCTGTCAAGCAACATTTATTGGATCTTGGAAAAAGGTGTCAAAGTGTTCTTTGCTGTCGTGTAAGCCCATTACAAAAGGCCAAAGTTGTTGAAATGGTAAAAGATGGTCTCAAAGTAATGACTTTAGCTATTGGAGATGGTAATACTAATAATTATAGCAATATCATGATTTTTTATATACTATTATATATATAATACTTATATTCTTATTGTATATAGGTGCTAATGATGTTAGTATGATACAAGAAGCAAATGTTGGTGTTGGAATAGCAGGTGAAGAAGGTCGCCAAGCAGTAATGTCAGCAGATTTTGCTATAGCACAATTTAAATATTTGGAAAAACTTTTACTTGTTCATGGCCGTTGGTCTTATATTAGAATTGCAGAAATGATATCATGTTTTTTTTACAAAAACATTGTTTGGACAATTGCAATGTTTTGGTATCAAATTTGGACCGGGTATAGTATTTTTGGTTGATTATTATATTTTTATTTATGATTTTCTTTTAATTAATAAATTTTAATAATAATAATAGATTTACAGCTCAATATCTTTACGACTACACATATATAATGCTTTATAATCTTATATTTACAGCATTCCCTGTCATGTTTTTGGGTAAATATTTTATTATTAATATTTTGCAAAAATAACTAGCATATATTTTAAAAAAATAACATATTGATGTTTTTTACAGGTACTTTTGATCAAGATGTTAATGCAAAAGTTTCATTAAAATATCCACAACTTTACAAACGTGGAATTCTCCAAAAAGACTTTACAAAATCCAAATTTTGGTTATATGTATTAGATGCGTTCTACCAATCAATTATTTGTTACTTTGTTTCATTTGGCTTACTTCAATTCGGACAATCTCATGCAAATGGATTATCCAATGATGGATTAGAAGATTTAGGTACACTGGTAGCTGCTTCAGTCATAGCAACCACTAATTTATATGTTGGTTTGAACACCTTCAATTGGACATGGATGGCGTTTGTGATTATCTGCGGCAGCATCTTATCATTCTATTTGTGGGTAGAATTCTATGCAATCATTTACGCGTTTGGATTTTTTAGAGCTGATAGGATACTATATACTGAAATGGACTTTTGGATGTCAATTGCATTATCAGTTATAATTAGTATTTTGCCAAGATTTGTAGTAAAATATCTTCATAAAACTTATTGGCCAACTGATACTGACATTATTCGTGAAGAAGTTTTCAAAGAAAATAATTATAAAAGTAAAATGATGAAAAAATATGGTATTATTAATGATGATGGTGAAAGCAGTCATGTGGAGGAGGAAAAAATTCCAATGACAAAACCAATTACCATCAATTCAACAAATGGATCAAACTATGTGATATCATCATCATCATCCAACAACGACTCAAACATAGATTTGTCATCATTATCACAACTGCAACCACCACTAGAGTCTGAAGTAATTACAGTCAACAACAAGCAGTCTTCATCATCAAGGAACAATTCGCTTAGAAGAAAGAAAACAAGAGATTCATCGAATTCTATTGATCAAATGGTTCATATGGATTCAGGAATATGTGAGGCATTTACTGGGTTTGCATTTTCTGTTGAAGAGAGTGCATTTGAAACTTTCAGAAAATCTGTTTATAGTCCAATACAAAGACTACAACAACGATCTAACACAATATCAACGTCAACATTTAAAAGTCATTTGTCATTATTAGATGATTATCTAATCACACAACCATTAAATCGTAGTAAAACCCTGCCTAATATTTTATTTGAAAGAACATCATCAACTGCTACTACTGCTACTACCAGCAATAATAATAATAATAATAATAATAATAATAATAATAATGATAAAGGATCTTCATCGTCAACTGGTGGTGATAATAATGATAATGATGATGAGACAGAACAAAAAATAGTTTAATATTCATTGACAATGAATGGTGTTAATTTTTAATTTAGAATTTTGATTTTATGTATTTTAATTTTGTATAGTAGATATTTTGTACGTATTATTTTTTAATATTTCAATCAACGTTATTGTAATTATTAAATTTGTATTTTTATTTATTGTTATTTTTGATTCTTTTTAATTTTCCTAATTAATGCTACTAATACCATTGTATTTATTTTTATCATGTCATTCAATTTTTGGTCATTATTGGGGTGTAAAATTGTTTAACATTAAAGGAAATTTTGTAACGTAAAAAAATTTAAGGTCAGCTTAAAAATATTTTTTTTTGACATGTTTCGTTATTGAGCCTATTACTATTACTATACATTTTAAAGTTTCGTTAATTTTATCGGTTATCAACAAAATATTGAAATCAAAAAAAACCTCTGTCAGATTATTCTTCAATAAAATTAAATATTTTTCCTCTAACATGTTTAGTTATCGATCCTATATATTTTAAGGTTATTGGGCTTTATAGTAAAACAAACTCTAAAAAGTCTGAAATTTTATTATTTGATATATTTGGATTGGTCACAGAAATTGATTATGCTTCGAGTTAATGGATGGATTATTATTAGTATTAGTGATTATATTTGAATATGGCTAATTCGAATTTAATATTAATGTGAATATGAATGTGAATCATACAAAAAATTACACCAGTCTGTAGCAAAAATTCTGAAGATTATGTATTTAGTATATATATAAATCTTCATATTTCCAGATTTTCTAGAATTTTGTCAATTAAAAATAAAAGAATTTGATTATTTGAAAAACCATTTAAATGTGTAAATTTCTTTAATAATTGGTCTAAAGCCTACATAACAATATGTTTCAAAACTTTTCTATGTTATAATCTAAGATCTTCCAATCCTCTGGTATAATTTTTATTACATAATTTTGGCTGCTTTTTCATTAAAAACAATATTTTGCAAACCACCTTTTTTTTGAAACGTGCTGTATTTCCTCAATTAACATTTAGATTCCATGTTGCCTCTATCAATTTTATAGATTCTGATTCTCAACTATTATAATAACTTCAAATTTTACATTATTAATAGTGGCACATGTTTATTTCTTGTTTTCATATCAAACCTTTTATTCATTTTGTTTTTTTGGTCTATTACATAATAATTAATGATAAACAAAGATCTTCAATAATGATTTAATAATAAATTGAAATATAATTAAATATAAATTCTATTTTTCAAAAAAAAAATGGATCCAACAACAGGTTTACCAAGTCCACGACGTAAAACTTTTTCTGAGGAGATGGGGGTTAATCATGAAGGGCTCACAACTGAAAGTCACGACTGGACCTTGGTGAAAGCTATTGATCTCGTACATGATCAAAAAATAGTTGTCATGTAAATATGCAAATTACATGTTTATTAAATTATTTTTAATTATACGAGAAATTCAATAACGAACTATTATTATTATTTAAAGTGATGGAGATACTTCAATAGAAGGCGCATGCGATGTTAGTAAACACAAGAAATATATTTATATAAACATTATATAGATATACATAGATGATTCTCACATAGATAACATTTCCTTCCTTCTTATTGCAATCAAATAAATATAGATACTTGTAAAAAACAATATATCATCAGCACCAGTTTATGATCGTTCAACTAAAAGTTATGTTGGGATGTTTGATTGGGCAGATGTGATGTCTTATTTGTTAATTGTTTTGAAAAAGAAAAATTCAATTGAACAACAAAAAAAAACTGATGCTGAACTTACCAAAGAATTTCAGGATTTATTAAAATTATCAACGGAACATCAACCAATCCCTGTTAAATTAGCTTCAGGTATTATAATTATAGAGAGATAATCAATATGATGATTTTTTTTATTTACATTATCAGTTAATCGTAGTTATTAACTTATATATCACGAATAAACAAATTAATCAATTAATAGATTTATCCAATAAGAATCCATTTTATTCGGTGTATCCTGAAACATCTTTATTACAAGTTGTAGAATTATTCGGAAATGGAACTCATAGAGGTTAGATCTTATTTTATAAAATATTTTGAAATTAAAATTTTAAATTAATTATATTTCTTCTTCTGTAATCTTGTGTTGAATCCGGATAGTTGCTGTTTTGGATGCTGATGGTAATCTGAAGGGAATATTGTCGCAATCTGGAGTGTTGAATTATTTATATAAAAATGTAAGGGGATGATGAGAGAGTTTGTCAATTATGATCAAGAGATTTGTATAATTTATTAATTAATTCATTATTACCTATTATATGAATACATTATATTAATTTGTTAGGTTACTAGATTTCCACAAATTGAAAGCCTATTCCCTAAAACGGTAAAATTTTATTTTAATATATTATATTATACAATGATAATGATACTTGTAAATAATTTAATTTATAATTTAATGTATCTTTATTAGATTTATGAGTTTGATATTGGTAAAAGTCCTGTGATATTTGCTCAAGCAGACTCTTTTGTCCTAGATGCATTGATAATGATGAGTAAGTGAAACAATCACTATTATATTATTATATTGATATATAATTACAACATATATATTTAACTGTTATATAATTATAGATGATAATGCATTAAGTTCAGTTGCTATCATTGATTCAGAAGGAATGCTTATTGGAAATATTAGTATGACTGATGTTAAAGTTTGTACTATTTATTAATTATTTTGATTATTTATTTATGTTGGTTATGGTTATGATTGATAATTTTTGTAAGAATAGAAATAATGATGATGATAACCATTCTCTATATTTTATTTTTAGTATATTATTAGAAGTTATAGTCACTCATTAATGTGGAAGACATGTCAAAAATTTGTTAGTCATGTAAGAAGTATACAAGGATTGGAAGATGGTCAGGTAAATCAAACAATCAATTAGAAATAATGTTTAAAATATATATGTGTTCACATATATTTACTCAAATATATAGGATAGGTATCCGGTGTTTGATGTCCGTACAACATCAACTTTAGGATATACAATTGCCAAATTGACAGCCACAAAAGCACATCGTGTATGGGTGGTTGATGAGAAAATGAAAGCTGTAGGAGTTGTAAGTTTAACAGATATTTTGGGTGTCTTCGCTCAAGCAGCTGACGGGAATCTTTCACTGAAGAAACTATCAAGATCTACTTCTTCTTCTTAAAAAGTGAATTAAAGGATTAGTAAAGGATTAGCGAATATGTGAATGAATGATGAATATATATATATATATATATATATATATTTCTTTACCAAATATTATAAATAAATTTTTGAGTTGATATGTATTTATTGCATTTTTAAATATTGAAAGATAAATAAATTATCATCTAATATTTTACATACATGCATTTATATTTTATCCAGATAAACAATTATGTAACAAATAATGCTTTTAGAAAAATCTAATTATTGGAAATCTTTAAGAGAAAAAAAAAGATTATGGTTTTTTTAATTATATATTAAATTATTTCTTACATTTCAATAATAATAATTTTAAAAAAAACCAATTAAGTTCTAGGTTTTTCTTTCTTTTCTTTATATCTATATAATAATGATATAAATATAATTAATTAATTAAAAATAAATATTAATGATCATGCCATAATAAATTGATAACTTACAAAGCAAGAAGAGATACACCAGAGACTTTGACCACTTTGAAACGGACACCAGGAATATCACCGATCTAAATAAAATAAAAATTTTTTTAAATAAAATCATTTAATTATAATAATAATAATAACAATAAATTACATACAGCTCTTCCTTTACGACCAAAACCAGCAATTAAAACCTCATCATTTTCATCAATATAATTCAAACAACCATCATTAGGGACAAAAGCTGTTACTTTCTTTCCATTTTTAATTAATTGTACACGAACACATTTACGAATAGCAGAATTAGGCTGCTTGGCTTCCACACCACTACAAATAATTGTATACAATTATTTATGAGTGAGTGAGTGACAGAGAAAGGTTAAAACAATTAGATCATGATCATATATCATTTATACAAAAAATAAAATAAAAAATATCTTTACATTTTTTCAAGAACAATTCCTTTAGCATGAGAAGAACCACCAAAAGGTGAAGATTTAAAGGCGGTACCCAAAGCTCTTTTTTTATATGCTTTATCAGCCCAACGTTCTTCACGACGATGAGTACGTAACTTACGAGCACTATGTAATCCTCTTGGTTTACCTTTACCTTTAGATTATTTAACAAAATTTTTTGATTATAGGTTTGATTTAACAATTGATTAAATTAATTAAAAAATTTCTTTTGGTTACCCATGATTATTTATCTATTTATTTTATTATAAATATTTTTGTTGTTTACTTTAAAGACGACGAAATCGAAAAAAATTTTTTTTTGTTAGATTAAATTCTACATAAAATATTTTGATTGGTTGATGAAATTTTAGTATGTTGTGTGAAAATATGTATATTCGCACCGAAAACAGCATGGTGGATATTCCTTTTATATTCGTTATATTATTTATTATTATGTCGATCATCTTGCAATTGTTTTAGGGTCCACTTGCAAGTTAACTACCTTTACAAGTATACTCTTTTCAATTCAGCATCCTATTCAAAGTAACAACTTTTTAATTCCTTGATTTGCAAGTCATTACTAAAATGCCTGTTGGTTTTTGTTCCATTTGCAAAATAGAAAAGATGACTCTAAGTGGTAAAATATTTCAAAACAAGGAAAGGTAAAAGCTGAACTAGTGGAGAATGTGAATTAAATATAGTGAAGGATATGTTCTAAGTGTTAGAATTCTTATATGACAAAAGACACCCAAAAATGCACTGTTGTGAAATAAGAAAACCAATTGAAATAGAAGTAAACACTGACATGTCTAACTTTAGTTTATAGAAGTTACAAAATCAAATTATAAAATTAAAAGCAGTCTTGGAAAAGATTACTAGATCATCATGTCAACATATTAAAGGATTAAGTGGCATATTGGATAAGAATTAGAGGATCTACTGTGAAATAGTAATTTATGGATATAACCTTGACTTTTCTGGCTTATGTATTGTTAAGACACATAGTCCAATATATATCTTTCACAATATACTGTTCAGGCTCCAAGTCCAATATGATGACCAATTATACCCTTTAGACTCTTGGTCAGATATTAGGGTTGTTAAATGGAGCATAATGTTCTGGCATCAACCCGGGTTATGTATCACTCCATCATGGAGTGTGACATGTCCTATCACTTTAGTTTCTATATATCAACAAGTTTTTAAACGAAAACGTGACAGTGAGCTTCGTGACTTTTACTCACTGTCAAGACAATAATAGTCTATTTTATCAATTCAAAAAAATTCAAATAGGACGGCCGTCCCCACATTTTTTTTCGTTTTTTTTGTAGAGAAATTCCTCTCAGGCCATTTCAGCGCACGGAACTCAACTTTCGACGACGTCCCTGTCCATCTTCAAGCAATCAAGTTTACAGATGATGAGCACATTCAAACCATGAAATCATTTATCATTATACAACGTTATACTAGATGGTCGAAAAATAAAAATATCACTGCGCCAAGTGTTTCATAGCATTACAATAACAGAAATACACGATTCAATTGATTCAATCATTTATTATATATAATAGGAGAGACCGTTTTGATAACACAAAATTTTAACCCGCGCAATTGTTGATCGACCAATCAAAATCGTGAATTTGATAACGTAAAAATAAACGTTAACATAAAACATTGTAATTGATTCATTTTGTCAACAATCACTTCACCAACAGTTGTTTCGTTAACAAATGTTCGAATTTAAGAAGTTGGAAGCAACCATTTGAAATAGTCTAATAAATTAAACCGTACTACTCGAAAATGTATTTAAAGGGTTGGTTTTCGACTTGATTGAAGAATAACTCTCTTCCTAACTCTTCTCTTGACCATATCTCTCGATATAATCAAAATAACCTTAATACAACGAATGTCAAAATGATTGTAAACGCGACCAATTTAAGATATACTATCAAGAGAAAACATGAACGATGTATGAAAAAATCAAACAAATTTATTTAATAAAATAAAATTTACAACTCAAAAAAATTTTTTTTTGCATATAATAAAATTCCATTATTAATTATTAACAATCTAATTATATAGATCTTGACCGATCAAACCCGCATATATAGTTATTGAATAATTGATAATAATAAAACGCCAATTAAATATATTCTACAAACAGCTTCATAGATCTCGACTTTATGACTTTGATCAAACCCGCCTATAATAATAACCGTTCATTTTGGAAACTTGATTTGCAAATAGATCTTGACTTTGACACTACTATCAAGCCCGCCTATATAATTATCTGAATAATTGATAAAGCGCTCATTAAATATATTTTACAAACAGATTCATAGATCTTGATTTTTAACACTTATTTCGATACAAGTTATTCAATAATTGATAAACGTTCATCAGTATATTTTACAAACTTGCTTTGGAAGCTTCGTATGTCGTCATACGTCTTGTATTTAACAGTTTACTTTTTCTGTTTAATTTTATTTTTTTTTAGATTACACAAATAAAAATCATGGAATAAATTTAATAAAAGAATAAATTTCAATTGTTAAAAAAATCAACTAAGCTTTTTTTTTCTTAATTAAAAGAAAAAAAGATACTTCGCAAAGAAGAACCCTCGTGTGAATCAAAAGCCATTTGCGAATTTCGATTATTAAAATCTTTTGTCCTGATCTTTTCTTCGTGTTTTTTTCGTCTATCGCTATAGAAGAATAAGCTTCGATTGTTTTAAGAAAAATCAACTAAGCTTTTTTTTTTCTTAAACAATCGACGTATTTTATTTTTTTTTTCCCGAAAGGAAATTTTTTCATTAATCAATGATTTTATTGTTTTCTCCAAAAGGAAATCAGATCATTCACTATCCTTCAAATGATCAAAATCAAAGTTTTTTCTTATACTACACTCACTAGATAAAAGTCGGGTGCATTTTTAAACAAAAATTGCGCAAAAACGCACACAATAAAAACACAAATAACTTATATCACTTTGTAGCCTAGGTTCTCAAAATTTTGCATGCAAAAAATTTAAAACTTCTGTTATTCTATTCTATTAAATAATCATTTGCAATTCTTTTATGTCCAAATGATCAATTGGTTAAAAGGCTTTATTTTTTATCCGTTTTATTTGTTTTATTTGAATAGGAACCCTAGTTAAAAGGCGTTATTTTTTTAATCTGTTATTCTATTCTATTAAATAATCATTTGCAATTCTTTTATGTCCAAATGATCAATTGGTTAAAAGGCTTTATTTTTTATCCGTTTTATTTGTTTTATTTGAATAGGAACCCTAGTTAAAAGGCGTTATTTTTTTAATCTGTTATTCTATTCTATTAAATAATCATTTGCAATTCTTTTATGTCCAAATGATCAATTGGTTAAGAGGCTTTATTTTTTATCCGTTTTATTTGTTTTATTTGAATATATAGGAACCCTAATTAAAAGGCATTATTTTTTTAATATGTTATTTTATTCTATTAAATGATCATTTACAATTCTTTTATGTCCAAATGATCAATTAGTTAAAAGGCTTTATTTTTTATCCGTTTTATTTGTTTTATTTGAATAGGAACCCTAATTAAAAGGCGTTATTTTTTTAATCTGTTATTTTATTCTATTAAATGATCATTTAGACAAATTGTCAATTGGTTAAAAGGCTTTATTTTTGATCCGTTTTATTTGTTTATTTGAATAGGAACCTTAGTAAAATGCTTTATTTTTTAATCTGTTATTTTATTCTATCAAGTGATCATTTAGACAAATTGTCAATTTGTTAAAAGCTTTATTTTTGATCCATTATTTCATTAAATGATTATTTACAATTCTTTTCGATTTTTTATGTAAATGGTTAATTGGTTAAAAGGCTTTTTCGTTATATTATTTAGGAGTTTCCAAAAAAGGAATGAAATTCATTGCCTTTTTTGGTAATTAAATAGGGGTCGTGTAATGTTGTTCAAAAAACCGT